TCACGAATATAGCATCGACTAGCACATAACCAAGTCTCAGTCAACTACGGTTTAGCAAAATCGTTTACAAAAATCAGCATGAAGATTGATGCTCCAACTGTCAAGGCTAGGTTCTCATTGTGAGAGATCTTATCATTTCCATGTCTCCAAATTGATTTGTGTAAATTTGAAATATATTCATGTGGGAGTCTTCTCCCCCACTGGCAGTTTCAAAAATAACAATATTTATTTATTTTACAAAAACCTCAATTGCCCGCTCTGTTTGTCTAGTTATCATTTGAATATCAAAAAACACAGTACGATTGTCTCTCACGAAGCACTTAGCTCAGGCAAGATTCGAGCTTAACTAATTACTACGCATAGCTACTACGTACTTGCCACGGTCTGAAGCAAAATGTTGGCGCATAGCAGATGAACCGTGAATACGTACAGAGGCACCAAAAGACGCAGCAGGTTTTTGTGAAAAGAGTTTACTGTGTTCCACGATCTCATTTGGCCGGCGCCGCAACCCCGCCACAGCCCGCGGTGTGAGCAGCTACAGAATAAAGGCACACGTCTACCGGCATGATCGTTTGCTCACGGTGACGCGTCTGCTGGTCGTCCATGCATGCCACACCGGAAAGCAAACGAATAACCCGGTGCCATCTGCTCACGTTTTGCTTTGTCAGCCGAACTGCTCACGTTGATCGTCCATAATTTTAAACATGGGAAACCGGGGTCAGTTACTTGATGCGCAAGCACACCCTCCTGGGTAAGTTCTTGGTCACCGTGCCACATTATCGTCTGACGCGTAGTTTTAAAAACTTATCGTGTGACGTGTGATAGGAGGATACACATATTATTTTGAATTCTCTAAAACAAACATACTACTAATTGTTTTGAATGGTACTTACTGTTTTCATGGTCAAGTTTGCAATGGCCTACTTGTTTTGGACAGTGTTTCCATGGTCAAATTTGCAATGGTCAAACAGATGAAGTGGGTGCGCTAGTGAAATTTCCGATCATGGCCAGCAATGACTATTTTTTCTCCGGAATGCATTTGACTATTAATCGTTTGATCTTTCCCTTGTATCCTCAATCAGACAACCATGACGTTGGATTGAGGATTTCTCCCAGTAGATTGTAGTCCTATAATTTTGAAATAAAACTCCTTTTTGCCGAAAAAAAAAGCAAACCAATCTGGGCCCGATGCGTTGCTTGGAGGTGAAGGATTTCTGGTGTTGCTGCTCAATTTCTTGGGAGTTTCTTAGGCTGCCAATTAGGAGTTGACTTGAGAATGCGCAACGTGTATGATGATTGGTGTTATAATGGTTGTATTAGTAGTATATGTAAGTGGCTTTAGAAAAGTCAGCTCCTGTCAAATAAGATTTGCGGTGAATAGGTACGTGCATGTGCATGTGCTAACGCGCTATAGCTTTGAACGGAAATTAAGATTTGGGATATTTGCATTTTGGCCCCTAGTTGGTGTCAACTACTCGCTCCGTCCATCTTTATAAGCATCCTCAAATTTGAGCCCAGATTTGTTTAATAGAAATATAACTAGCAAATTATGAGTTAAATGAAACAAAAGGTTTATCATTGGTCCGAAAGAAGTTTTTAGTGATATACTTTTTGTGGCATGTAACTCATAATTTATCAAGTCAATTTTTTGTCAAAATTAGGCTCAAAATTGAGGGGGGGGGGGGTGTTTTGACTAAACATGGTTGACTTTTTTTGCGAGTGAAAACATGGTTGAAATTGACTACATACTTTTGGGAATGTCACTTACACCTCAACACCATTCTAAAGAAAAGAAAAAGAAAACCTCGCAATCACTCCTCATCCCATTTATCCTCCTATGGCAACTCACCCCTTCACAAGCTCGACCAACCTCAATTCGTAGAGATATCTAAACAACATGAGATCATGAGGGTGGCAGAAAAAAAATCCTCACACAAATGGACAAAGATGATGAGGACCAAACAACCCTCAGCGCCAGATAGTATGTGCGATCTCAAACACCGCCAGGAGCTCCGGTGCAAACTGGGAAAGGGGGGGTATCCGAGTCTGCATGAGAGATGGCCAACCAGAACCACCATACAATCTCCAAAAGGAATAGAAATAATTTCCCACTCCACCAGAAAGAAAACATAAGCATGGGGAACGAGCTCGACCCAACCATCTTGTCCAAGTGATTTTGCAGTCGTCATAATGCATACGGAGCACGCTCTCTATATGGATAGGTTGAGGCTGCTGCGTGCAACCACATAGTAGCCATATTGCAGTCTTCATAAATTCTCTACAAGTAGGACCCACCTATCATTGGCTTCTATCTTCTTCCCCAAATTTATTGTCCTACCCCCAAACCCACCATGGATGAGTCTACGGAGCCTACAGAGCACTAGCGCAAGCACATCACACACCAGCACACAAAGAGATTTAGGTTATAAAGAGAAATTTATGTTCTTTAGAGGCATTTACGTTCACTAGAGATATTTACGTTAGCACCTTCTTCCCCGAGGCAACCGAGATACCCAACGAGGGCGTGAAAATCGGCGAGATAACCGAGAAGCCCCGCCCCTTCCCGCGCCCCTGGGCGAGTGCCATTGACAGGGCAACAATTCTGATGGCATGGTATCGATTCTGGCGGTGGGGTGTTGATTCCCGGGTGTCGGGCTGCGAGGTGGCAATTTTGGTGGGCATGAAGTAGAAGGAAGGGGAAGGAGATGAGATGAGCTCCACGGGAGCCTAAGAGGGAGCCAGAACATCCTTCCCGTGCGAGCGGTTGACGGATGTTGTGCGCTCCAAACCAACGCATCCAGCCTCCCAATGTGGAATGCCTCCATAAATTATGGCGACTCTACTAGAGTAACCTTTTCGGTCAAAATCACCATATTGGCAGTTATTATGCCGATTGAGTTGATATGACGACTTTGATAGAGTTGCTCTTAGGTCAACGACCAACGGGTGCCCCGCTGGAGTCTTCCCTTTCTCTTGGAGGACATAACTGCCCCTCGAAACAGGTTTCTTAGGACTTGTGAGGGTTGTATTCTTCTTGTCTATGGCAACTCAAGAAGGTGGGGCAAGGTGATAATCTCGTGATGGATAAAAGAAGAAAGGATATAAATCCTCATCCCCACACATCCTCAAAAGTTGAAATGACGAGTGATAAAGGCACAGAGCAGATCAAGGCGAGGAAACACGCAACACAAAGATTAATATCACATCACCACCCACAACTCACGTCCCTTAGGGAAGAATCCACATGGCGGTGGAATGCGAGGCAGACGAGTAGTCTAAAAAACAAAGTGTTTTCGACTAAGGCCAGGGAAACACGAAACAAGTCGCCCATCGACAACAAGACAATGAGAAGAACTTGGCAACTCTCCCATGGTCTCATTACATATACTGATGGGGGACTTGTCGAGGCAGGAGTAGGTTCAACCCTTACCTGTGTCGCAAATGTTATATTGTGGGCCGTATGTTCCCACTTGTGTACGGTATGAGGGGTCCGTGCCTAGGTGACCAATTCCTCAAACGCGACACCCCTAGTTTCCTTGAAAGAACACATGTGGTTACTAGACACGGAGAAGTCCAAGTACGCCAAGAAGATCCAGACAGAGGACGATGGCCCCGACCAATAACCCTATATAAAGGTCCAAACGAGACGAGAGAAGGGAAGGGCTTCGACTCCGGAAACCCTAGAAGCGTAGAATAGCTCTTTAGTAGATCTAATCTAGACATCACATCTAGATCGTCCACATCCAACACTGGCGACTCAACTCCCAACTAGTCGGATCAAAATTTACAAATTTTAACTTAAAAAATGAACTACATTAAGGAATGCAAAGAGTAATATGTGGAGTACTAATTTAATGCTTTTCGTGAATCCTCACAATCCAGTTGTACCCGCAACAATGGAGGAATCCTAGTAATAAATAAATGAGATTATCCGAAATAACAACGTATAGAACTAACCGTAAAAGAAAAACTATAGTACTATGTAGTATTCCGTTTGTTCCAGAATATAAGGTGCCTCAGTTTTCGTGCAAGTCAAACTTATGTATAAAATATCAACATCTACAATACAAAATAAATAAATATGAAAATACTTTTCACGATGGATCTAATGATACAAATTTGGTACTGTACATGTTGGTACTTTTTCCTCAAAACTTTCTCCTCAAAACTTGGTCAAACATGCACATACTTGACTTTTAGAAAATAAAAAAAAACTAATGCATCTTATATTTTAGGACGGAGGGAGTATTTGCTTTGCATATTATATTTGTCTCGAGTCAAACTTTGATCAAGTTTATAAAAAAAATGTTAACATCCACAATACCAAATCAATCCCGTTATAAATCATCATAGAATATATTTTCGCACCATATATATATTTGATAGTATTTGTTAGAAAAACTGTATTTCTTATTGTGAAAGGGTATAGTATGTTCTGTAAGTTTAGATCAAAACTAATATGCGGAGTAAATAGAAACGAAATGACAGTATAAATGGTATCGTACATGATACTCCCTTCGTTCCTTTTTATTCTGCATAAATTTTTTGTTCGAAGTCAAAATATCTCTAATTTGACCAAACTTATGGATAAAACTATCAACATTTACAATACCAAATTAATATCACTAGATTCAATATGGAATTTAGTTTCATATTACAAAATATTTAGTATTATAAATATTGATGTTTCCTAATATAAATTTGATCAAGCTTTTTAAAGTTTGACTTAACCCAAATCTCATACACACACCGAGTAAAAAAGAAACGGAGGGAGTACATTAATTTCCTGCATATCTTGTGTATGATACTCACACCACCGTGGGCGGTGTTAAAAACTGACGAACACAGCTAGGACAGGACAGTCCCTCTCCTCTCCTCCAGTTTTCCGGCCGTTTTCAAGCGCCCCCCTAATAAATACCCAAACCATTCTCGGAGACCCAGGGAACTCGAACTCCTCCGCCCCCAGTCCACCTCCACCTCCACCTCCACCTCCACCCCCGATGGAGCTCCTGAGCGGCCCGGCGCTGGCGTGGCAGCAGTACCGCTCGCTGCTCCGCAAGAACGCGGCGCTCGCCTGGCGCCACCGGCGCTCGTCGGCGCTGCAGCTGCTCTCCTCCCTCCTCTTCATCTTCCTCATCTTCTGCATCGACCGCGCCGTCCGCTCCCGCTTCTCCTACACCACCGCCTACCAGAACGTGCGCGACCCCAAGGCGCTCGTCGCGCCGCCCATCCCGCCCTGCGAGGACAAGTTCTTCGTCAAGACCCCCTGCTACGACTTCCTCTGGAGCGGCGGCACAAGCGCCCGCGTGCCCGCGCTCGTCGACGCCATCCGCAGGAACAACCCCGGCCGCCCGATCCCCGCCGAGAAGGTCAGAGATTTGGTTCCTCTGTTTTTTTTTCTCTGGTCATCGGTTTGACTTTGCGCGCAATTATTCGTGGTGGATTGATCTTGCGGCGTGCGTTCGGCCGGTCTTCGTGCCGCGGAGTTGGTTGCTCGCGCGTTTAGCGTGACGATTTGGGGGTTTCTTAGGTGCGGGAGATCGAAATTCTCCGTGCGTTTGTGTCGAAAGAAAACTACTGCCTGAATTATTTTGAAGAAGTGAGTTGATTTTAACCGCTCCATGAGGTCGTCAGACTGAGTTGTTTGGACTCATGTAGCATTGTGATTTGGTCCCAGGTCTGAAGGTTTTCAGTTTTTTTACTGCTCGGTACAGATAGATTTTAACTTTCTTGTTTGGTGAAAACTTGTTTTACTGCTAGGTACAGATAGATTTTGATGTGCAACGTTAATTTTTACTGTATACCCTTCAAGCATTTTTAGCAGATTCGCTGATTTGACGTTGAACTTAGATCATCATTTGGGTTTGATGTTGACAATGTCGCTATGTGGTTTGCTTCCATTTGGCTTACCATCGCACTCCAACCAAACGGTGGGCACCCACTTTGGATGCCAGAATTGCGATTTTTCCTAATAAAATGTTGGGGAAAAAGAGCCTATTCTGTTTCTATTTGGATGCATGCGGGTCTACCTGGAACAGCTAATTCGGTTCTGGCTTGTCTTAGATGACTTTGATGTCATTTTCGTGCCACTGTTTGATTTATTTATCTGAGTACACAATGTCTTTTCTGGGAAACGAAGACGGTGTGAATGTAGATTTGAATCTAACTGAAAATATGCTTGCTTTGGCATACAAGAGACGATGATATCAAAGGAGTGGTGTTGGTTTATTTTTCAAAAACAATATGTTTTCTTCGCAAACATTTTTAAATGCACCCACAACCTCTTGTTCAGGGGCGGAGCCAGGATTTAAACATAGGGGGGGCCAAACGATGATGGTGAAGCCAAAAAAAATTGCATCACAAAACTACCCAATAGTTTTGTTTACAAATATCATTCATATTTCACTTTCCCTAGACAAACAGTTTGTATATGCCGGAGGCAATGTCTAGCTATAGCTAAATAGGTCAATAATGAAGTTGATAGTCAAACTACTCCGAAATCTGACTTGAAATACCGAGCTATAAAAAATGTCATAAGGAAATTTAAAATATACAAACAAGAACTATCATTGTATAACAAAACGATTGGCTTTTAGCTTGCTTTTATATAGGTTTGAATTAAAAAACATCATTGGTTGTATTGTGAAATTTTGTTTGTGTATTAGGGAAAATACCTAGAGAATAAAATCCAGCCCTTCGTTCCCTCTGTTGTTAGGTCAAATACTCGTCGTTGGCATGCACATGATTTCTAACGATTGTGATGCAACAAAATTTGATGTATAACGATGGAAGATGAGAATTGGGAGAGATTAGCAGATGGTGTGATGTATTAACCTTGGCTAGTTCGTTGGCTGAACATGAAGAATTGGCCAGTGAATCAGCTGCATGCGTCACCATGTGAATCAGATCAATAGGGATTAGGGAGAGCAGAGGCGAGCAGGCGGCAAGGGCACGGCAGTACAGGACGGCGGCGGCGTAGCGCTAATCCGCACGCGCATGCTAATCTAGCTTTCCCAGGACATTAAAACGACTCACCAATGGGCTTTTACATGGGCCTGTTTCCTATTTTTCAGAATTCACGTCCAGATAGAGGGGGCCAAGTACTAGTTTACGTGAATCATATTGCCAATCAACACGCCGTACTTAGTGTATGGTCGAGCGATAGGGGGGGCCAGGCCCCTGCTCGCCCCCCCTGGCTCCGCCACTGCTCTTGTTAATTGAATGTAATGGTCAAATCAACTAATGTACAGAAGCTCCTGCCCTGTTTTCCTCTGTACTGTGGTCTGAAATACAGTAGTATACTTCAATTCAGCTGCTGAAACTTTTCATTATTTTTCATACACAACTTGAATAAATTAAGGATGGTATTCGGGATAAAACAAATTTTAACTAATAGTTTACTGTCACTTGAATAAATTTGGATTTTGTGATAAACTGCAACATATAGCATGTGGACTAGTTAAAGTTCTTGAGTTTCTTCAGGGTTACTCAAAACAACTTTGCAGGTCACCCTTGAATTGTTTATTACTCGATATGCGACAATACATGTTACCTAAATTGTCTTATGGTGACTTTTTCAGGTCTTAGGTTTTACGACTCCGGATGAAGTTGATGCTTGGCTATTTGCAAACCCGATGCGCTGCCCTGGCGCTTTGCATTTTCAAGATATAAATGCCACCCAGATGTCGTATGGTATTCAGACAAACTCCACTCCAGTAGCTCGAAGAGGAACGTATGAGGACCCCACCTTCAAGTTCCAGATACCGCTTCAAGTTGCAGCTGAGAGAGAAATGGCAAGGTTGATTCTTGGAGGTATTGCTGCTTCCATGGTATTTTAGGGAATGCTATTGTTTCACGTGTACTAATTAGTTTGTAGTACCACAGTTTTCATACCCTTTGATAACATTCCTTCTGGTCTACTTTTATCTTTCAGATTATACAATATATGCCGCATAAATAAGTGTTGCTTGTATTGCTTTTATAGTAGTACTCGTGAATAACAGTAAATTTCATGACTGACAGATCCCAATTTTAGCTGGACTGTGGGATTCAAGGAATTTGCTCACCCAGCAACTGAAACCTTCTCTACGATTGCCCAAGCAGGGCCAACTTTCTTCCTTGCCATTGCAATGTTTGGATTTGTTTTCCAAATCAGTGCCTTGGTTACAGAGAAAGAACTTAAGCTTCGTCAGGTTCGAGCTTTTTCCGTCTCTACATCTGCGTTTAATGATTTGTGTATCTTTTTTTTTTCGAGACTAGATATTTATGTGTCTTCATGACCATTCACAGGCTATGTCTATCATGGGGCTCTATGAATCGGCTTATTGGTTATCATGGCTTACCTGGGAGGCCTTGCTTACATTAATTTCAGCACTTTTCACGGTGCTCTTTGGGATGATGTTCCAGTTTGACTTCTTCCTGAACAATAGCTTTGGAATCTTATTCATCCTATTCTTCCTCTTCCAACTGAACATGGTAAGCTATATATACTGATCTGTATGCTTGTTTTGCTTGTCCCTATTTGGAGTGTTAAATTTAGATAATAGCATGCTTCTATGAATGAATTTTGTTTATACATTTTCTGAATCTCTATCAGAATCTGCAAACAATGTTTTTTTCCCTTAACAGTCTTGTTCATTATAATTTCTGCAGCTTGGTTTTGCTTTCATGATATCCACATTTGTGGCAAAAGCAGCATCAGCTACTACGGTTGGATTTGCAATATTCATCATTGGGTTCTTGACACAGGTAAAGTTTGCCTAATCATCATCTTACAGATACAGTATTTGAAGTTGTCAGAAAATAAACAAACCCCTTGGTTACTTGCTTGTGCAGCTTGTTACAACCTTCGGGTTCCCATATTCAAATACCTATGAGGCGTACTACCGGACAATATGGTCCTTCTTTCCTCCTAATGTTTTTGCCCAAGCCCTCAATATTCTAGGTAAGGCAACAGCAACTCCAGAAGACAAAGGTATTAGCTGGAATCAGCGTAAAACGTGCCAATCCTTTGAGACGGACTGCGTCATTACAGTAGTATGTACAAAACTTTGCTCATTAGTAGGTATTTACTTTTAGTGCTTATGCAACTTGAAGCCCTGATTGTTTGCAAACATCTGACAGGATGACATCTACATATGGCTCATCTCCACATTTTTCTTGTGGTTTATCCTGGCGATCTACTTCGACAACATAATTCCAAATGTCAATGGTGTTAGAAAGTCAGTGTTTTACTTTCTGACGCCTTCATACTGGACAGGGAAAGGAGGCAAGATGAGAGGTCAGAGTTTGTTGAAGTCTGCAGTAGTTCTTCACCATGTTTTTAGCTGTATTATGTAAGGTTACTCATTAATCTGATTGATCCACTCCAGAGGGAGGCCTTTGTAGCTGTTTTGGTTCGAACCGGCCGGCTGATGATGCTAGCCCTACTGATGAGGATGTTCTTACTGAGGAAAATCTAGTAAAAGAACAAGCTGCAGGCAATGAGGTAGATCCTGGTGTTGCGGTTCAAATACGTGGCTTGCGGAAAACATATCCAGGAAGTTTTAATATGGGTTGCTGCAAGTGCAGAACAACTAAGCCGTTCCATTCTGTCAAAGTGAGTTCTCAGTGATCTTCTAATATAAAAGCAAGCAAGCTTTGCTTCCTATGATATTAACTACCTAATAAATCTCACCAGGGCTTATGGGTGAACCTTGAGAAGGACCAGCTATTTTGTCTTCTTGGCCCAAATGGAGCTGGTAAAACAACTACAATCAGTTGCCTGACTGGTATCACACCAATTACTGGCGGCGATGGTTAGTGCCATTCCCTGAAGCAATGGTTGGTGATATGATATGTTATCAGTAACTATGAATATGCTAACAAGCCACTTTGAACATTTGACAGCTTTGATTTATGGTCATTCCGTTCGAAGCACTGCGGGCATGTCTAATATTCGCAGAATGATTGGAGTCTGTCCGCAGGTTGGTCTTTTGAACATTCATTCACATATTATCATGCAGGTGCTGTCCAGTTTTAATGGAAGATAAATATGTTTGCTTTGCAGTTTGACATCCTCTGGGATGCATTGACGGCTAAGGAGCACATGGAGTTGTTTGCCAGCATCAAGGGGTTGCCATCATCAACAATCAAGTCGGTATGTTTCTTAAGAACCTATAGACAACTACTCCCCAACACTCAACATTGTTTTGCATATTGATCTTTCTCTGTTCATCCAATGCAGGTAGCAGAACAGTCACTAGCCCAAGTGAAGCTCAGCCAGGCAGCTAATGTTAGAGCAGGTAGCTACAGTGGTGGAATGAAACGGCGGTTAAGTGTTGCGATTGCTCTAATTGGTGACCCAAAATTGGTGTTTCTTGATGAGCCGGTAGAGACCTGTCAAATTCTCATCAGTTCACTTGCTACACATACAATGCCACATGTTAATCTAACTATTTATATCCTACACAGACAACTGGCATGGATCCAATAACAAGGAGGCATGTCTGGGACATCATCGAGGAGGCAAAGAAGGGAAGAGCTATTGTATTGACCACACATTCAATGGAAGAAGCTGACATCTTAAGTGACCGAATCGCTATCATGGCAAAGGGGAGATTGCGGTGTATCGGCACTTCGATAAGGCTGAAGTCGAAATTTGGAACTGGGTATATCGCTAATGTGAATTTCTCGGGGAATGGTCACACACAGAGCCCTAACATCAATGGTGATGCAGAGGCCCCAGTTAATCCTAACATAGAATCTGTCAAATCATTCTTCAAGGAAGTATGTGTCTCATCCTTAAACTAAATATCATTCAGATTAGTTTCTCTTATTATGCGGAAATGTTAAACCGCAAAAAATGTTTCTGAAACAGAGGCTTGATGTGGACCCGAAAGAGGAAAGCAGGACATTCTTAACGTTTGTCATCCCCCATGAGAAAGAACCACTTCTGACGGTAATGCCTTGACACCCAAATTATGTTGCACATCATTAACTGAATTTATGACACTAGAATACTTATTTACCAACAGAGGTTCTTCGGGGAACTCCAAGACAGGGAAAGGGAATTCGGGATATCAGACATTCAGCTTGGTCTTACGACACTTGAAGAAGTCTTCCTGAACATTGCAAAGCAAGCTGAGTTGGAGAGCTCTACCGCCGAAGGGACACTAGTGACTCTTAACCTGTCATCCGGAGCATCAATTCAGGTTTGCCCTCACTAATCCTAGGAACATAACTGCACCTGGGAACATGAAAGATAACTTGTCTGAGATGCAGATCCCTCTAGTCTTTATTTAGCCAATTGTGAACATCTCTCTGAATTGCCCAACTTTGCGAATGCAGATACCGAAGGGGGCGCGTTTCGTGGGCATTCCTGGAACCGAGACGGAGGAGCATCCGAGAGGAGTCATGGTGGAGGTGTTCTGGGACCAGGATGACAATGGAACGCTCTGCGTCTCTGGTCACTCTGACGAAACCCCTGTGCCGGCAAACGTGGAGCTGACAAGGCCTCCTTCGCTTTCGCGCAGGGCGTCAGTCGGCCGCGGAGGCCCTGTGGGGTACGTCATTGACGAAAACCAGGTCCCAACAACAAGATGATGAGCTTGAGCGCAGGAGGTCGATCGATTTTCGTGCGAATTATCTCAGGGGTGATTTGTAAGTATAGAAAGGCTGCTAATGTACATTATGTTTGTGCTAGAGCATTGTCGTCGTTAATTAAGGACTTGGTGATAGATATACAGCTTGATGTTGTTTTGATGTCTTGTGGCAAGTGTGATGACACATATTGTAAAGTAGGTTGAAAAGTACAGTTATGTTTACAACGAGTTCCATTTCTAAAAAAATGTTTACAACGAGTCGATTTGTTGCTTCAGGATTGTGTCAATGGTTATTTTTCTCAAGAGTGGGGTGTAATCCAAATATCCGATGATCTGATAGTCTCCCAGCCTGCACCAGAAAACATCTAGGAACCAACCAGTATAGCTCTTGTCTCGCCTGAAGCAAGCGCATATACGGTCGGCCCATTAGCTCAGGTCGCCCGCGTCGCTCACTCGGGTTCAGGTCGCTCGCCTGCAGGTCACGTACTGGCTTGGTCTGTTTTTTTTTGTCTTTTTGCGATTTTTTTGTTTCTTCATCGGTTTTTCTTAGGTTTTTTTGTTTTTCTTTGTTTTTCCACCAGATTTCCTTGTTTCTTTCTTGGTTTTATTGGTCTTTTCTTTCTTCCTTTTGTTCCCTTCATTTTTCTTTGTTTCTTTCCCAGGTTTTAATGTTTCAATCCTTTCGCATTTGTTCTCTCTGTTTCTTTGTCGATTTTTGTTGATTTCTTTTTTGTTTATCACATGTCAACTTTTTTTCAATACACATTCATTTTTTTATACATCGGTAATTTATTTTATAAACACGTTTAACATTTTCAAAATGCATGGCTAACATTTTTTAAAACATATATTTTTATGTGTACTTTTTTCAATACACATTATATATCTAAATAGTTTTTTAATGAACCTTTATAAATTGCAAATACATGTTAATATTTTAAGAATTTGTTTTGATGTCTACTTGTTTTTGTTCGCATCGTGCATTATTATTATAAATCTGAGATATTTGAAAAAATGGTTTCTCTTTTTTAAATATGAATGCACAATAGTGGTGAATGCTATGAACATTTTTTTTAATTACATTAAACAAAAAATTTACACTACTTTGCATTTTTAAATTTTTTTATGATTTTAAAAATAGTTAAATTTAACTTTCGAAATATATGTGTTTATAATATTTTTCGAAAATTTAAAGAAATGAAAAAAGAAAAAGAGGTCAATGAATTGAAAGAAACAAATGAGAAGCTACACTCGTTTTGCTACTGAGCCGGCCGACTGGTGTATCCTTGACGTGAGCGTAGGCTACCCCTAAATAAAAGGCTAGGTCTCGCTATAAGCGAGACATGGTGGCTCCTATACAAATTTTGTTCATTAAGTTAAAAAAATCATTGAATTCATAATTAGTTCATCAAATACAAAAAAGATTCATCATTAGTAAAAAATGTTCATAAAAAATTGTACATCAAAATAAGGAAATGTTCATTAAAATTCAAAGAATGTGCATTCTTTCGAAAGGGCGAACATTTTTTGAAATCACGAACATTTGTTTTCATCGATAAACATTTTCTGAAATTCTTGAACATGTTTTGAATACACAAGCATTTGTATGCGAACGTATTATTCAAAACTATGAACAATTTTCTAAACCATGAAAATTTTATGATTTTTGGTAAAAAAAAAATTCCCCCCTTTTGTTTTTGAAATTTATAATAAATTTTAAATTATGAATTATTTAAAATAAGAATAAATAAAAACATGAAAAGAACAAAAAGCAAAAGAAATAAAAAAAAAGGGGCGGCCTGCCCCGCTCATTGGCCGGCTCAATAGGGGCGCGCGGGAGGGAGGCGGTGCGGGGAACTCCTATGCGCCGCATTCTGCGGCAGAATGTCGAGCAATCGCATAGGAGTTTCCCTCAGCTGGGCCGGCCCACGAAGGCAACGAGCGGTGAAAAAAATAAACAATTAAACAACAGCGCTTCCACTAGGATTCGAACCCGCGACCGAAAGGATGTAGACAAGGGTTGCTTGCTAGGACTGGGCGTTCGGTTAAACCAAACCGTTCGGTCCGGTTCTTCAGGTTTTGAACAAGTTCGGTTTTTGGAAAAAGAATGATCGATCGGTGACCTGAAAAACTGCTAACCGAGCATTCGGGGGACCGAGATTTCGGGTCGGTCCTCGGTTGAGGCCGAATTGACCGATATATCAGAGAATGAAAGCAAAAACATGCACACTTCTGAACTTAATCATCAAATTAACCTTGTGTACACACAAGAAGTAGATCCCGTGAGTAGAAAAATCAGATCCTACTAGCAAGAACCATCCCGTGAACTCATCCAGATCTCACGACCTTATCAAGAAGCTCCAAATCATATAGAAATAGAAAAAGATGCTAGCATCAAGCAATCGAAGAGGAGGCGGGAGATCAGAGGGAAGAGATATGCGTAGGCCGGAGGCCACCACCGTCGCCCGTTGGGGTTCAGAGCGAGGAGAAGGAGAGGCGGCGCGCTGGCGGCTAGGGTAAGGAGTGGGGAATCGATCGGGAGTGAGGCTGAGATTAGTAGGATGGGCCGCTGGAGGAGGCATGTATACGAGGAGGAGCAAAGGCTTGAGATTTTGGGCTGTGTGTGGGCCGGCTTTTACGTAGAAATTTGTCCATGTGCACATCGACTCGGTCTCATCGGTTACTTCGGTTAACTAAAGTACAAGACCGACATTCCTAAATTAATTTTGGTTTTTACAAATTGCAGATCGAACTAAGGATCGGAATTTTCGGTTTCGGTCCCGGTTTTTTCGGTTCGGTAGTTTGGTGCTCGGTTAATATGCCCACCCCTACTTGCCACTACGCCAGTTCCAGTTTACTGGTCAAGTGGCACTGCGAACACTTAAGACCTAGTCACACTGGTAGATCCGATGATTTTTCTTTTTTCCAATCTTTTGTTGTAAATTCTGATTATATTTTTTACAAGTAGAACATTTTCGACAGAACCCACACAAGTTTTAAAAAAATGTTAGAAATTTTTAAAATCTGCAAGAAAATTTGAAAAACAGGAACAATTTTGAAGTTGTGGACGAATATTGAAAAACAGGATTTTTTTTAATTATGATCAATTTTCAATAAACACATTTTCGAAAATGTGAACAAGTTTCGGAATAGTGATTTTTTTCAAAAACATGAATATTTTTTATAGGAGAACAAATTTAAAATTGTGAACATTTTTTTGTAAACATGAATATTTTCAAAAACATGAATTTGTTTCATAAACATGAACATTTTCAGAATTTTCGAACAAAAATTTGAAATGGGAACAAATTTTAAAATAACGAACAAATTTTGAGTTTTTAGAATTGATTTGGAAATGGAGAACAATTTTGAAAATCCCAAAAAAATTGAAATTAGAACAATTTTTTAATACGTGAACAAAAATTTGAAAAAATAAGAACATTTTTTGAAATTTTTAAATAATGTTTTAAAACAGGAACATTTTTTGAAATCCATGTCATTATTTACAAATTTCTCAAAAAATGAAAAAAACAGCAATATTTTTTGAAAATTCGGAACAAAATTTTGAAACGGGGAACATTTTTTGAATTTATGAACAAATTTTGGAAAACGGAAACATTTTTTGATTTTTTGAACAAAATCTGAAAAACAGGAACATTTTTGGAAATTAGGAAACAAAATTTGAAAATAAACTTGAAAAGAAAAAAAAAGACAAGGAAAAAAAGAAACAGAAAAAAGAAAAGAAAAAACGAAAAAGAAGAGAAATAGAAAAAAGAAAAACGAAAAAAAACTGAAAAAGAAAAGGCCGGTTCAGGAACCTTCTAGAAGGTTCCCAAAATCGTAAAAAAACCGGCTAGAAACATCATAGAAGGTTCCCAAAATCGTCTGCTGAAAACGCTAAAACGGTCCGGCCCACTCGTTCGCTCGCTCACCTCCTCTGTGCGAAGAGTCGACAACTTGCCGCAACGAGCCGCGAGTAGCATTTTCCGGCGGTGCGCGCTGGGCCGCTGGCATGTAGCTCACGCGCCGAATAGGAGCACCCGCGAGACATACATACCTTTGGATCGGGCTGCCCTAAAAAAAAAACTTTAGATCGGGCGGATAGGCGCCGAGAAGCCCACAGCAGAGAAGTCCGACGCTGGTTCTATCTCCGCCTCGCCCTACCGCTCAAAAGAAAAAGAAAAAAAGACAAATCTTCGCCTCGCCTGGCCTTCTTGTTGGCTTGCGAAGGGAATCGGGACAGGGCTGGACGACACGAAACTGAGGTGAGGTCTGGGGAACGGGGCAAGAGCAAGAGCCAGCCAGAGCCAGTGGTGAGAACCTTTTCCTTTCCGTCCTTCCCCTGTTTCTGCCTGCAGTCCGTCCCCGGGGATCGCCGGTGTTATTTGCTAGTACAACCAACGATCCTGCATGCAACTCAGCAACTGCAATACGTAGTTATTTTGAACGAAATTGCCGCTTTCAGTTGTCAGTGTTCTGAATCTGAATCAACCCTTTTTGCTTGCTTATTATGAACTGATGAAACAAGTTGTCAGGTGTTCTTGCCGTCAAGTTAAAACTGAAACTGAAACAGATTGGACTCTCATGTGCTTGCGTTTTTCTTTTACCAT